CAGAATAAAGTGTAACAGCTTCAAAGGAGTCATTGATCTGTGCAGTACATTATACGCATGTTAAAAATTGTTAGAATATTTATTTACATGAAACACAGCTCAAAAGGAGCCATTATGGTCCTTAAGTAAATTATACATGTTGTGAAAATTGTCTAAGTGCTTCTTTTACCAGGAACAAGTGTATCATGTCAGTTGATAAACACATTATGTTCGGAAAAAAGCAAACAAATCCAAGGCTAAAAGAAGGTTAAATCAGGGAAAGAAAGGGGGAAAAAAAATGGATAAAATAAAAGCACATGTCATGTGGAAGTGTGGCCCATGCCCTTCAAAGGAAGAAAAGTCAGGGCTGCTCTGCCCCGGGCCTCGCTCAGCACTGCCATCACACTTCACCCAGGGAGGGCTGCGTGCCCGGGGCCCTCGTGAAGGGGCTCGGGATGTTTCCTGAGAGTCCTGGGCACTAACGGGACATTCACCCTGCTCACGGGCCAAGAAATGACAGAGCGCGACTCCTCCGTCCCGGCCACCGCCGCGTCCTGCCCGAGGGCTCGCGCTGCTCTTTCCCGTGTGTCTCACACGGCTCCTTTGGCAGCACGACGCTTGCGGAAGAGGAGGAGGAGGATGGCAGCTCAGAACATCTCCCAGCCCATCCACACCTCCGTGATGGCACCTCAGTGGTCGGCACCACAGCCGGTACTGCTGATTTGCTTTGCAGGTGGCCTTTGGGAGCGAGGCTGGGGCAATACGCACTGCCTGGCTCAGCTACCCCCTCACCAGGGGCTCTGGGGACCACTCTGTGTCATGCCCTATTGTAGCATTGCGTGAGGAAGGCGCTTCTGGGAGGCAGAGACTGCAAGTTCTCTCCTAATGCAGGAGCGAAGAATGGGTTTTCTTAATGCAAGAGCGCAAGCAGTTGTACAGGGGAAATATATTTAGCCTGTGTATTCGGAATGCATGTTCTGGGATTACAGAGTAAAAGCGTTTTGGAAGCACTGATATTATTGTGAGCCTCACTTTTGGAGAAGCCAGCAAATGGTGTTGCATCCAAGACCATTATTTGAATTGTTTGTACTGTGATTTCTTTTTGTTTTTGTTTTTTTTTTTCCGGCTGTAAAGGTTCTAAAAAATGTGACTTCTACAGCTACAGAAGCATTGAAAATATAAATAATAGTAATGTACTGCTGTGTGTTTGCATAAACTTGTTTATCCTATACACAGTTCATTTATTAACTCTCAGGACACACCTGTAGGCCAGATACGACATTCCTCATGACCACTTCACTTGTGGCTGAAAATGCTATGTCTGCTTAAAGGCAACATGCTGTGGTTTAGAAAGGGGGAAAAAAAGAGTACCATTCCCCCATGAAACAGAGGGGGCAATGCAGTGATCCACCGTAAGAGCTGGAATTGGGCTGTTGCGTGGAATTGCCACCTCCTTTGGTTATGAAACCAAGAGGAGATCCTCAGCAGCTGTAGGGATGGGAAGCCCCGTGGTGCCGCACACCACCACATATGCAGTGCTCACTGCTGCTGCACCGTGCACAGCACACGAGTCAAGGATGGAGAACATCTTGCTCCCTCATCTATTGCTCCTCCAGACCATTTTCTAGTCCCCCACAATGTCCAACGCCCCAAGCAAGAGTCTTTGCAGTCCCTCCTAGGAATGTGGTTCAGAATCGGCATCTCTTTAGGCAAAATCTCCTGATAATCACCCCTGGCTTTTGCTACACTTTGCTCCCTTTTTTATCTGCAACGTAATTCCCACACCGAAGATAAAGTAAGAAACATGAATACATTTTTGCCTATTCCCTCTCTTTTCTTCCAAAAAGACGAGTACATGCGATTAGCTGGACATTACAAATGGAAACCTGGAAGATAGTTTTGACAGCTGGTGACTTGCTCAAGGTCACAAAGAGACTCAGTAGCAGAGCGGGGAACAGAATTTGGTATCCTAATTCCTAAACCGGCAGCCTTGCCCAAACTCCCATCGCACAATCAAATAGCTCCTTTTAAGGAATGTTTTTGTGACTAAAAAGGAAAATCCAGGACCTTAGAAGAAAGAGTCCTTTTAATTTGCTTTTGTGCATACCCTTCTTTTGCTATGTGAAAAATATGATTTAAATGAGGTATAGAATTAAAATATTTTGAAAATATCTAGAACTGTTGATAAACAAGTACGGCTGCATTTAGGAGGGTACCGATTCCAGCCGCCAGTGTGTGATTAGATATTCCTTGCTTACAGCTTCACATTTAGCATAAGGAATAAATCAAGACCAGCATTGACTGTGCTCTGATTGAGCCTTATTGAACATTATAGGAGTGGTTTCACATCTGTCAAGGATACTATATAACATAGGAATTTTCAGGAATTTTTCACAGCTCTATAATAATACGTCAGTTTTCTAAGGTTTAACTTGTTGCAGCAAGAGCAGTTCTTGAAAAGGACAACAAAATTTTAACAGCGCTAAACTCAAGAGGAGATTGCCCTGAAACAATCTAGAATGTGGAATGGTTGCAGCAAAGGAGTATTTTTTGGATTAATCAGAAGCTCTCTACTAGTTTTAGTATGTGGAGACCCTATAAGGTTTAACTTGGTAAAAAACACCACATTTTACTTGCTTCCTCTCCAGTGTAACAGGATACTGTAATCTGGCAAGAGCAGACAGAAACTAACAGCAGTCCTGAGAACTCCCATCACTGAGAAAATATATACTAAATATGCTAACGTACAGAGGCTAATGTGGGCACAAAAATTGTTAAAAGGAAAAAACAAAGAAAATATGGATATAAATGTAAACCTTTTCATTAAAGATTTTTACAATGCAAGAAACCATAAACTGCAGTAATGTAAACCTAGTTGTAGCCTTCTTGCTTACACGCAGTCACTAGAATAATTGGAGACCGAAAAAATCAGAGGTTCATGACTCCACTTTTCACTGACATGCATTTTGCTTATTAAACTATCATTATTATAACATCAATTGGGAAAAAAAAGATGTAAGGGATCTCACGCTTTATCCCTGGAGTCAGTGCTAAGCCTCTGAAATACCAGCAACTTCAATGGATTTGCAGTGACAGGAGGCCTCACGCTTGCAGATGTGTTCACTAGTTTTTGATTTGATCTTTATGCAATTATTTTGATTAAGAAAATGCTCATCTTGTTGACATTATCGCTGTAGTCAATAGCTAATGACCCTGGTAGCTCATTTCCTTATAAATATTTAACTTAATAGAAGTCCCTTGGGTTAGAGTACTTTCGACACTTGTATAATCTGAAACAAATCCTCCCTTTTTTCAGTCAAACAGGCCATGTTACCCACACAGTCGGCTAGCTATTTACAAAGCACCCAATTAAATCCTACTTAATTCTCCCGCTCTGAAAAATCCCATCTCACTAGCGTGCAGGCTACCGATCACACAACATGAGCATCTCCTACCCAGCCTGGACATTAGAGCCTGGAAAACTTAACTGTTCCAAGACCCCCTATAAAAAAAAAAAAAAAAAGAGTTTGCCCATGAAGCAGTCAACATCAAAAGTGAAGAGAATGTGTAAATTCAGAGGCTTGAAGAAATAAGCTGAAGAATCACAATTAAAGACAGGTAAATCTAGTTTAATGTTCACATGTAGTAGTTACACATCACAGAGATTAAACAGGATTTTAACTGTAACATAGCTGCAGTGAAATGAAAGTCATTTTGTGCTAGAAAAATAATCTTGACACAGTTATCCGATTTTTGGTCTACTTAAGTTCATTTTAAGATGAATTTACACCACTGATTATAATGACTTTGCCCATGTGCTTTTCCACAGTCCCATATTAATACTCTTTGGACGAAGGAGACAGTAACCGTTTTTCTTAATGGTTTGCCCTTTGGTTGCAAGCAGAGAACTATTTTCACTTTAAGCAATTAGTATGCTATAGGAATGCAAGTTTGCAATAAAACCTTTTGGTGCTAAATGAAGTTCAGAACAAATTCCTTGATTTGATGCAACAGCAGATTTTAAAAAAGCTGATTAAAGATCTAAAGCATTGCCCCATAATGCAAAAAGTAGATAGAATCTGTTTTTCTATTCTCAGTAAAAAAGCACATCTTGATGCTACTCTTATAGTATGCACTAAAAACCCCTGTGCCTAAATGACAAAAGTGTAGTCTCAAAATGTATAATACATTTACAAACATTTTAAATTTAGATTGAAGAAAACACATTTGTATGGACTCAGAACAAGTTTATTTGCAATTAGACATCTCATGCAATCATGCAGGACCACTAGCTATAGCTCTAACTTCCGAGTCTAAAGGACATTTGGGGAGCAAAAAAAAAAAATCCAGGAAAAAAAAGAATCCCTCAACATTCAAGATATTTTCATATTAGCAGCTCTGTACTTGAGCTCAAAGTAGTTTTCTAAAGAGATATCCCCCACAGATTTAAAAAAAACATACACACTTTGATAATATTTACAAAAAAATATTTAATTAAAAATATTTTATAATTACAGTAGTCTATTAAAGCATATACTTTTCTCACACTTATAGAACATCTCTATATATACACAGTATGAAATGTCACTCAATTTATCTATACAATATGTAACATTCCTGCAGGGAGAAGAAAGTTCCCTGGGCCCCAATAAAACCATCTATTTTAAACAATAGATGTGGAAATATATCTACAATGCTCCGGTAGATTAGTAAAGCTTCAAAACGCAGCTGCTCGGTCCCTTACAGTTAAAAACACTCCTAAAGCCTGGGTTAACGCCGGGTCTCTTCTCTCTGCGCGCCCCCGACCGCCTCCTGCCACCGACCAGGGCGCGCACGGGTCGCGGCGGACAGAAAGCGAGGAGGAGAGGCGGGTTTGAGCGAGGTGGGGGGAAGGAAAGAAAATAAAATAATAACGGGGGAGAAAAGAGGAGGATGGCTACGGACGTGCAAAACGGTGGCGGGCGGGCCGGGCTCCCTCGGCTGAAGCGCGGGGCCGGGGGCGGCCGCTGCGCGCGGGGCCGCGGCCGCCCCCGCGGTGCCTCCGTCGGCGGCCGCGCACCTGTGGGAGAGGAATGAATAGAGGGGGTGTGTGAAGCGCTCCGCTCCAGACCGACTGGCGCCACCAGCACAACACAAGACATGCTTGATCAACAACCCAAAACAAGCCGGGTCAAACAACAACCGCAGCCACCCGGGCTGCGCCAGCCGGGGGGATGCCGCAGCTGCGAGCCACCGCCAGCGGCGTTTCGGCAGCGGTGAGAAAAACACCGTCATTATTAGCATTTTTTTTTTTTTTTTTTTTAAGCCTCCTCCTGCGCACATCTCGCCGCCTCCAGGTGCCCCTTCCCCTCGGCGCCCGCCCGGCGCGGCGGTGCCCCCCCCGACCCCCCAGCCCCCGGCACTCACCTGGGGAGCGGCGCTCAGCGGCACAGGATGCTGTCCCCCGGCTTGTTAACGGAGCCAGCCTGCGCGGCAACCAGACGGCGGCAAATTAGCCAGGGGGGTAAAAAGAGACAAAACACCCGCCCGCCCGCCGCATGGGCCCCCGGCCCGGCCGGGGGGGCTCGCGGGAGCCCCCCGGGGTGTCTGTGGCGGGGGCCGCGCCGGAGCGAGCCGGGCTCTCGCTCCGCCGGGCCGCGCTGCTCCCGCGCCCCGCGTGCGGCGGCTGCCACACGGGGTCCGCGACAAGGGGGGGGGTCCGGGACAAGGGGATGCTCCCCAACCCCCTCGCCCTCCCCCCCCGCGCGCGCCCAGCGCCCCTGGCTGCGCACTGTTTCCCGCCAGCGTTCCCGATATTCCGCCAAAGGCGCGGGAGCCCCGCGCGCGCTGCCGCGGCCCCTCGGCGGAGCCCCCCCGCGCCCCGCCGCGCACGCACCTCTTACCGGGTCGGTGTTGAGGGTCGTGAGCGGCGTCCTGGCGGTGCCAGCGGGGCAGGGTCCCGGGTGCAGCGCGGGCGGCGGCGGCGGCTGCGGCCGGAGCAGCGCCGGGTGCGTCTCGAGAGCCAGCTGCAGGTCGAGGATGTAGTCGATGACATGCTGCAGGATCTCCACTTTGCTCACGCGCTTGTTGGGCGGGATGGTGGGCACGAGCCTCCGGAGGCGGCTGTAACAGTCATTCATATCGCACTGCAGGCAGAGCGCGGCCGGCTCCTCGCCCGACGGCGGGCCCCCCTTGCAGCCGCTGTGCTCGGCCAGGCACCGCAGCGCCGGGTGCCCCGCGCCGCCGGGCTGCGCCTTGCGGCTCGGGTGCCGCACGGGGCTCACGGCTTTCATGGTGCCGCAGGCAGGGAGGCAGGCAAGCAGGGAACAGGGAGACGGGAACAGGGAGACGGGCACAACCGCCCCCTCCGCCGCCCGCGACCTCGGGCGGCAGCGGCGCTCGCACCGCTCGCTTGCCCGCAACGCGGCCGCTTCGCCGGGGATGCTGCGAGGGGCTCTGGCCGCGCGACACCCGTGGCAAGCGGCAGCCTCCCCAGCCCGCCCCCGGCTCCCGCCGCGGCCGCCTCTGCCGCCGCTCGCCCCGCGCCGCC